CTTTTGGTACGAAATTCTTGCGATTCTGTTTCGATGTTAACACGTACGTATACTCGGAGACAAGAATTGAGCGAACAAAAAAGTGTAACTTGCATTAGTGATATATTTAAATTTTATTTATTATACACCTGTGTGCAAAATTCAAGGAATACCCAATTTTCACCGAAAAGTTGCTGATACTACAAGTGTTATAAAATCGTTACCAGGAAACATGCAGCGATCATTCTATGCTCATTTTAAATCAAAAAAACCACTATTTTTAGAAGTTTCATTCATGTGGTAGACTGAGAATGCGAAGCTGCTTTCTCGTTCCGAAATTCAAAATTCAAATTCAAAAGAATCAGACGTTAAAAAATTTTGTTTAGAGCTAAAATGACGCGCGATAATTTGTACGATGTTTTATTGTACTATGAGTATTCAGCTGGCATTGTATTAATAGCGCAAGCAGCTCCTCGTGAGTATTGCACAGTCGAAAAATAAGTGTTCCTTTAATTTTGCATGCCAGTGGATATCATTGTAGTACAAAAGTTATTTAATATAATTGAAATAATTGAACATTTTTGTATTGTAAATTTGATTATGCCAAGGAAATTGTGTAAACGATAGCGAATTAAAAAGGAAATTAAAATGTGGTTTCTGAGTAGGTGAAATTGACGCGGTTAAAAATTCTCATTCTTTTATAGCTACTAATGCTAACGATCGTGCAGTCGGAGATGTATTTAGACAGCAACGACGCCGAGAAAAATCTTGACGCATTAGTAATACTATCCTGCGGCATTCTGGCTGTGTCAAAGGTCATTCGTTTTCGTATTCGGCCTGCTGCCCTTATCTTGAATTTTACGTCCGCGGTCGAAGATTATAACGAATTGAGGGACGATGAGAAACGAGTGATAGTGCGAAAACACGCTTATATGGCCAGAGTGACTAGTGTCAGTATGATATTTTTCGCGTATTTCAGCTCGATTCTTTTCATAACTGTGCCAATGCTGGCTGAAAAAGAAGAGAAAAATGTAGTTAACGTAACGGAGGAAAGTACATCAGAGTATCCTATACCTTCCGAAAATGTAATGGCACTTGTAAAAATACCGAAAAATTTATACTTCTTTGTTTTTATCATGGAATACTTGATGCTGCTATTCACGAGCACTGGAAATCTAGGTAAGGTATCATCGTGTCTTACGAATTACTCATTGTCAGAAGCCACGCTAGTTAACTCCATAAATTGAAATGTGGTGATGAATGATAAGTACGAATATCATTTGTTAAAATGTACTTTGCCATTACAATTGTTTTGCTTTTGGCGATAGAAAGAGAAAGTATTATACGAAACTCGATTGACTTATAGAGGCACGTAATCTGGAATTAATACTTTCTTGCTAGGCGAATGTTATAACAAAAAGTACGTAATGTGTGGTCGACTTCATTTCTTTAAATGGAATGAAATTCTTTGTTTTATTTACACTACACTTAATCGTTAAAACGTGACGCTCGATTTATATTCGTAATTTCTCTTGTCACACTTCGTACGAAGAGTTTGCGCTTTTGAAATGTTGATTAGAACTTATTCACTTTGGACAATTAAATTAAGAACTGTATACCAAATGCAGTTGACTGGCTTGGCTTCGGAGAGGCTGAAATACCTATACTTGCTCAGGGTAGTTTAAGAATCTTACTCATTTATTTTGAAATATAAATTAGGAAGCGATTCGTTGTTTTTCGGTATCACTTTTCACCTGTGCGGTCAGGTAGAAATACTGAAACTAGATTTCAAGAGACTGAAAATAGGGAGCGAAAGAACGAGGGAACATTTTAACGTATTAACCAGGAGGCATATCTACTTAATTAACCTGGCCAATATGCTGATCGACACCATCAGCTCTATCTTGGCTATGCAACTATTCACGAGTTGTATACTTATTTGTACAAACGGTGAACATTCTTACCTCACTCGATAAAATTACACGAAGCCTGATGGCAAAAGTTTATTTAAATACGATCAATATGTTGGGATAATTTGCATCTGTTTTTAGGACTTCAATTCATTATCGCTCTGAGCATTGGAAACATCGTCATGGTTGTAAAAATATTTATGGTACTCGCCTCTCTCATGGTACAATTGTTTGCATACAGCTACGTGAGCGAATATTTAAGACGTCAAATGGAAGGCATCGGTGACTCGATGTATTTCTGCAACTGGTACGATATACCGAAAAGTGTGACAAAAGATATTATTTATGTCATTATGAGAACTCAGAATCCAATTTTCCTGAAGGCTGGAAAATTTTTTATTGTTAATATGGAATCTTACATGAGTATTATGAAAACATCTATGTCGTATCTCTCAGTTCTACGAGTAATGGTAACTGCTTGAGGACTTGTATAATGTAGAAATCTAGGAAGTCATGTTAATCTAATAAAGTACAATAAAATATTTAGTATTATTAAAATATCTGGTGATTCAATATTCATTTCAAATGCTCAAAATCAAATTGGTCGAACGTGCGCAGAAAATCGACTCAATAAGCTGTAGTTACTAATTCGTACAATGACCAACAGAAGATACAACAGTGTCGTTTAGGTATCGCGGAATACCACGCGTCGAAAACGTTGGAAATATATGTATACGTAAATACACATTTAAACGGATGGTATATAAATACAGATTTAATTATGGTAAGTAATGTAAGTTTGTTTAGTGACGTATTGAAATTAAATGCTGCTTCCCTGTAAAAACTGGCATATATTATTCGTTCGCGTTCTATCTCCATATTTTTCATATGAATATGGAATTGGCTATTGAACATATTCTCAATCACAAAACACTATGTTTGGAATTTCTTGGAGTATAAATAGATTAGGAAGGTATCACTGGTTTTGGAACGAATAACTTAGAAGAAAATTGAAATTGCTTGGTTATCTTATCGCGTCTAGCGATGGGACATATTACTTATCCCATGAATCGATAGTATCTGTACAAACGGTCCGTGTTTCCAGGCGCTGTACAGCGGAAAGCGTGTAATCAGCGGCTGAAGAAAATTGAGAGACGAAATTTATATAAAAAAAATACTCAATATATTCTAATTTCGTCATGGTACAATGGCATACGGAGGGAACAACGTCCTCTGTGCATTAAATGCGGATATTGCAATAAATGTACATGTACATACCAACAAGATTGAAAACACGCTGACATTTCGAATTCTGCTAGGCCTCGAAATCTGTCGGGTCAAGTAAGCATCGATGCCACACTAATGACAGACAATCAGATGGAGATACGCACAACACCTTAGTCCACAACAAGAACCAGCAGCTCGTTCTGTTCAGGTGAACGTGAATTCAAAATTTGCTACAGCGTAGGGTCGGGAATTCGACCTCGGCAGTGATCGATCTCGTCACAAACTTTCCGTGATGTGTTCTTACCGTTCGCTACAAATTTTAAACTGCACACTCTGAACACAGAACACTGGCGTCTTAATCACACTGGCTGATGCGTGGAAAGGAACTGCGAACGGCCAACTGCACGTGTCTGTCTCACGAAATCGTTACAGCTGTACACGGCGGTTATTTGCTGTGCGGTTTATACCCGTAATACTTTGGTTTGAGATACGTACGTAGCGTGGATACGAAAGGCGGTTTGATTTCCGTACCAAGTCGGTTACAAATTTCCGTCTACGTACCGTGTTTCGCTTGACAGATGCTTGATCTGCGTGTAACTTCGTATACACAGTGCTGCTGTCGGTATCGCTTCCAGACGTGCAATGCCGGCATCGCATTCAATTCTCTCGAATAGTATCCAGTGGGGGTCGACGAGCACGCATCCTTACGTAGTGGGGCCCCACTCACCACCCACTCCGTCACCGATTCTTCAGGAGGATCACGCGAATCGGAGAGATAACAAGGTGAGAGAGTTGTTACAATTGCGACATACTTCCACTATTCGATGAATCTGCGTATGTAACTGATATGTTTCGTTGGATTCGTACAATAAATTTTACTACTATATCTAAAATTTAATTCTTTACCTTATTTGTGAAACGTTCGAATTGCAACGCAAGGAGATCTCACCGGTGATCTGTCAATCTCGTGATTTCTCGTGTCTCCTACGTGACACTGCCGAGTCTCGATCCAGGGAGATCGCACAAACAGTCTACAATTTGCCATGGTATCAACCTCGAAGGGACACTTAGCAAAATACTCGCAATGAATCGTGGGAATTTGTCATACCACGTGACAGAATGAAAGTTCCTCTCGATGAATATACTCACTTTCAAAGAAATACGACAGGCACCAGGCTTCTTACTTCTTCGTTTTGAAAGTAACGCGATGCACATGAAGACCATTTGATCGCGAGTGCTATGTATTCCTCTCTACATTCTCGGTGCATTGCTAGTGGAGCAAAGGCGATATTACAGTAATTCGATGACAAAGAGCGAAATTTTCTCAAATGGACGACTCAAATTTCCACAAACATACCTACGTACGAAGCATGCTATAACCTATTAAACATAATTACGCAATGGTTTGGATCGTTGTATGCGAATAAATAAGAAATTTTCTAAAGCGCAATTTCGAGAACGCCCATCACGACCGCACCATTTGCTTGCTACGAAAATAATCGAATTACAATTTAGACGGAAAATAATCGAATTGCAATTTAGACGAATGTGGCTTTTCCACTTTTCATACAAGAAAGGGTAGCTTGTTACTATAAGAAAATAGATCTTTATTCTTTACATTTGCTTACATAACGTTGAAACTTTAGCCTGACAATTTTCAACGAAAGATGAATACCCTACGTAAACACAGATCGATTTTCGAAGCGCGTGTGTAGTATAACAATTTATAAGTTGAATATTCTTTCAAAACACGAACTAATTTTCAAGACGAATGGCACTGGACGACAGAAGCAACGGATTATTTATTAATCCTGGAGAAGCATGGCAATAAATTATTTCTCTACAAAGTAAACCACACTAGAATTTTCTTGTGCCCACTGGACGATAGATAATTGAGCGATTATAGTAGAATAAAAGATAAACCGGAACATAGAAATACAATTCGTGAGCATGAGGGAAGGAAGAAAGGGTGCATATGCACGATTACGCAGTATTATTTGTCGACCTTCGTGTTGTGAACATGAAGGCGACGTTGAATAAAGATTTCGCTTACGCGATGACTCCGATGAAGATCCTGTCGTGGCCTGTTGGTACCTGGCCTCTTCAAGACTACAATATTTTTTCCGCTATGCGTGTCATAATCACAAGTTGTCTTTTGGTACGAAATTTTTGCCATTCTGTTTCGATGTTAACACGTATATATACTCGGAGACAAGAATTGTGTGAACAAATACGTGGAACTTGTCTTAGTGATATATATTTAAATTTTATTTATTATACACCGGCGTGCAAAATTAAAGGAATACACAATTTTCACCGAAAAGTTGCTGATATTACAAGTGTTATAAAATCTTAACAAGGAAGCATACAGCAATCATTTTGAAATTTTTCCACAGAGTTTTCTGCATCATGTGGTAGAGTGAGAAAGCGAAGCTGCTTTTTCGTTTCGAACGTGTTTCAAATTTAACAGATTCTACAGACATTAAAAAATTTTGTTTAGATGTAAAATGACGCGCGATAATTTGTTTTATTGTACTTTGAGTATTCAGCAGATATTATAATATTAGCATAAGCAGCTTCTCGTGGGGATTGCACAGTCAGAAATTAAGTGTTTCTTTAATCTCGCATGTCAGTGGATATCATTATAGTACAAAAATTATTTAATGGATAACTGAAATAATTGAACATTCTTGTATAAACAAGACCTACTTAAAGAAACTTTAAAGAAAGACTTTATTATCATTGCACATTACTTGTGTTCTTCTTCAGAAACAAATGTCTTCTTTCAATAAATTTTATCATGGCAGGGAAATTGTGTAAACAATAGTGAATTAAAAAGGAAATTAAAATGTGGTTTCTGAGTAGGTGAAATTGGCACGGTTAAAAATTCTCATTCTTTTATAGCTACTAATGTTAACGATCGTGCAGTCGGAGATGTATTTAGACAGCAACGACGCCGAGAAAAATCTCGACGCATTAGTAATACTATCCTGCGGCATTCTGGCTGTGTCAAAGGTCATTCGTTTTCGTATTCAGCCGGCTGGACTTATCTCGAACTTCACCTCGGCTGTTGAGGATTATAACAAATTGTATGACCAAGAGAAAGGCGTGATACTGCGAAGACACGCTTACATGGGCAGAGTGGCAGGTATTGGTGTGGTACTTTTCGCATATTTCAGCGCAACTCTTTTCATGTCTGTGCCAATGCTGGCTGGGGAGGAAGTGAAAGATGTAGTTAACGTAACGAAAGATAATATTCCGGAATATCCTATACCTTCCGAAAAAGTAATGGCACTTATAAAAATGCCGGACAATTTATACTTCATTGTTTTTATCGTGGAGTACTTGATGTTGTTATTAACGAGCAATGGAAATCTAGGTACTGTATCATTTTGTTTTACGAATTACTCATTGCCAGTAGCCATGCGAATCAATTCCACAATTTGACAAGTGCAAGAGATCGATAAGTAGGGGCAACATGTGTTGCATATACTTTGAAATTACATATCCAGCTTTTTATTGTGTGCTGTTGAGATGTCGAGTTCAAATTTCGAACAAAGAAAGTAAGTACTTGAAAAAAAATGGAATTGATGAGTTTGGATTCAATGAGATGCTAATACCGATACATGTCGAAAGTAGCATTAGTATTTTGCTTATTTATTTTTCAATATGAATTAGGTAGTGATTCGTTGTTCTTCGGTATTATATTTCACCTGTGTGGCCAGGTGGAAATTCTGAGGCTCGACTTCACGAGACTGAGCAACGACAACGAAAGAACAATAGAACATTTCATCGTACTATCCAAGAGGCATGTTTACTTATTGAAACTAGCTAAGATGCTGAACGAGACGATCAGCTCTATCTTGGCAGTGCAACTATTCACGAGTTGTATTGTTATTTGTACAAGCGGTGAACATTCTTACATCACTTAATAAAATGACGCGAAGCACAATGGCGTAAGTTTATTTAAATACGATTAATGTATTGTGATAATTTGCATCTGTTTGTAGGACTTCAATTCATTATCGCTCTGAGCGTTGGAAACATCGTCATGACGATAAAATCGTTTATAGTACTGAGCACTCTGTTAGTGCAATTATTTGCATACAGCTACGTGGGCGAATATTTAAAGCGTCAAATGGAAGGCATCGGTGATTCGGTGTATTTCAGCAGCTGGTACGATATACCGACAAGTGTTGCAAAAGATATTATTTATGTTATTATGAGAACTCAGGATCCAGTTTTCCTGAAGGCTGGAAAATTTTTTATTGTTAATATGGAAACTTACATGAGTATTATAAAAACATCTATGTCGTATCTCTCAGTTCTACGAGTAATGGTAACTGCTTGAGGACTTGTATAATGTAGAAATCTAGGAAGTCATGTTAATCTAATAAAGTACAATAAAATAATTAGTATTATTAAAATATTTGGTGATTCAATATTCATTTCAAATGCTCAAAATCAAATTATCGAATGTCGAATGTGCGCAGAAAATCGACTCAATAAGTTGTAGTTACTAATTCGTACAATGACCGACAGAAGATACAACAGTGTCGTTTAGGTATCGCGGAATACCACGCGTCGAAAACGTTGGAAATATATGTATACGTAAATACACATTTAAACGGATGGTATATAAATACAGATTTAATTATGGTAAGTAATGTAAGTTTGTTTAGTGACGTATTGAAATTAAATGCTGTTTGCCTGTAAAAACTGGTATATATTATTCGTTCGCGTTCTATCTCCATATTTTTCATATGAATATGGAATTGGCTATTGAACATATTCTCAATCACAAAACACTATGTTTGGAATTTCTTGGAGTATAAATAGATTAGGAAGGTATCACTGGTTTTGGAACGAATAACTTAGAAGAAAATTGAAATTGCTTGGTTATCTTATCGCGTCTAGCGATGGGACATATTACTTATCCCATGAATCGATAGTATCTGTACAAACGGTCCGTGTTTCCAGGCGCTGTACAGCGGAAAGCGTGTAATCAGCGGCTGAAGAAAATTGAGAGACGAAATTTATATAAAAAAAATGCTCAATATATTCTAATTTCGTCATGGTACAATGGCATACGGAGGGAACAACGTCCTCTGTGCATTAAATGCGGATATTGCAATAAATATACATGTACATACCAACAAGCTTGAAACCACGCTGACATTTCGAATTCTGCTACGCCTCGATATCTGTCGGGTCAAGTAAGCATCGATGCCACACTAATGACAGACAATCAGATGGAGATACGCACAACACCTTAGTCCACAACAAGAACCAGCAGCTCGTTCTGTTCAGGTGAACGTGAATTCAAAATTTGCTACAGCGTAGGGTCTGGAATTCGACCTCGGCAGTGATCGATCTCGTCACAAACGATCTGTGATGTGTTCGTACCGTTCGCTACAAATTTTAAACTGCACACTCTGAACACAGAACACTGGCGTCTCAATCACACTGGCTGATGCGTGGAAAGGAACTGCGAACGGCCAACTGCACGTGTCTGTCTCACGAAATCGTTACAGCTGTACACGGCGGTTATTTGCTGTGCGGTTTATACCCGTAATACTTTGGTTTGAGATACGTACGTAGCGTGGATACGAAAGACGGTTTGATTTCCGTAGCAAGTCGGTTACAAATTCCTCTCTATGTATTCCTCTCCACATTCTCGGTGCATTGCTAGTGGAGCAAAGACGGTATTACAGTAATTCGATGACAAAGAGCGAAATTTTCTCAAGTGGACGACTCAAATTTCCACAAACATACCTACGTACGAAGCATGCTATAACCTATTAAACATAACTACGCAATGGTTTGGATCGTTGTATGCGAATAAATAAGAAATTTTCCAAAGCGCAATTTCGAGAACGCCCATCACGACCGCACCATTTGCTTGCGACGAAAATAATCGAATTGCAATTTAGACGAATGTGGCTTTTCCACTTTTCATACAAGAAAGGGTAGCTTGTTACTATAAGAAAATAGATCTTTATTCTTTACATTTGCTTACATAACGTTGAAACTTTAGCCTGACAATTTTCAACGAAAGATGAATACCCTACGTAAACACAGATCGATTTTCGAAGCGCGTGTGTAGTATAACAATTTATAAGTTGAATATTCTTTCAAAACACGAACTAATTTTCAAGACGAATGGCACTGGACGACAGAAGCAACGTATTATTTATTAATCCTGGAGAAACATGGCAATAAAGTATTTTCCTACAAAGTAAACCACACTAGAATTTTCTTGTGCCCACTGAACGATAGATAATTGAGCGATTATAGTAGAATAAAAGATAAACCGGAACATAGAAATACAATTCGTGAGCATGAGGGAAGAAAGAAAGGGTGCATACGCGCGATTACGCGGAATTATTTCTCGTTTTTTGTGTTGTGAGCATGAAGACGACATTGAATAAAGATTTCGCTTACGCGATAACTCCGATGAAGATCATGTCGTGGCCTATTGGTACCTGGCCTCTTCAAGACTACAATATTCTTTCCGCTATGCGTGTCATATTCTCGATTTTTCTGGTGGTATGAAATTTTTGCCATTCTGTTTCGATGTTAACACGTATATATACTCGGAGACAAGAATTGAGTGAACAAATAAGTGGAATTTGTCTTGGTGATATATTTAAATTTTATTTATTATACACCGGTGTGCAAAATTAAAGGTATACCCAATTTTCACCGAAAAGTTGCTGATATTACAAGTGTTATAAAATCGTTACAAGGAAGCATATAGCAATCATTCTATGCTCATTTAAAATCAAAAAATCACTATTTTCAGAAGTTTCCGGAATTTATCCCACAGAGTTGCCTGCATCATGTGGTAGACTGAGAATGCGAGGCTGCTTTCTCGTTCCGAAATTCACAATTCAAATTCAAAAGAATCTACAGACATTAAAAAATTTTGTTTAGATCTAAAATGATGCGCGATACTTTGTCCGATGTTTTATTGAACTTTGAGTATTCAGCAGACATTGTAATAATAGCGCAAGCAGATTCTCGTGGGGATTAAGTGTTTCTTTAATTTTTTATGCCAGTGGATATCATTATAGTATAAAAATTATTTAATGTTTAATTGAAATAATTGAACGTTTTTGTATAAACAGTACCTATTTTAAGAAATTTCATTGATACCAATTTCAATCTTCTGCTCATATACTTCTGTCCGAACATGATAAGTAAACTTCCTAGAAAATTCGCAATCATCCTCACCACTATGCAAATTCCACTTTGTAAATTTCATTATTACTGCACATTATTTGTGTTCTTCTTCAGAAACAAATGACTTATTTCAATAAATTTGATTATGGCAAGGAGATTGTGCAAACAATAGTGAATTAAAGAGGAAATTATAATAAGAGGCGCTAAATAAGAGGCGCTATATAAGAGGCGCTAAAATTGACGTGTTTAAAAATTCTTATTCTTTTATAGCTGCTAATGCTAATGATCGTGCAATTGGAGATGTATTTAGACAGCAGCGACGCTGAGAAGAATCTGGACGGTCTAGTACTTATTACTTGCGGCATTCTGGCAATGTCAAAGATCCTGCAGTTTCGTATTCGCCCTGCTGGCCTCATATCAAATTTTACCTCGGCGGTTAAAGATTATAACGAATTGAACGACCAAGAGAAACGAGTGATTGTACGAAGACACGCTTACATGGGCAGAGTGGCAGGTATCAGTGTGGTATTTTTCGCATATTTCGGTTCAACTCTCTTCATGACTGTGCCAATGCTGGCTGAGGAGGAAGTGGAAGATATAGTTAACGTAACAGAAGATAATACTCCGGAATACCCTATACCATCCGAAAAAGTGATGGAATTTATAAAAATGCCGGATAATTTATACTTCATTGTTTTTATCGTGGAGTACTTGATGTTGTTATTAACGAGCAGTGGAAATCTAGGTAATGTATCGCCGTGTCTTATGCGCCGTGTCATGCGAATCAATTCCACAATTTGACAAGTGAAAGAGAACGATAGGTAGGGGCAACATGTGTTGCATATACTTTGAAATTGCAATCCACAGCTTTGTATTATCTGCTTTTGAGATGTTGTGTTCCAATTATTCATTTTGAACAAATAAAATAAGTACTTGAAAGAAAATGGAATTGATGAGTTTGGGCTCAAAGAGACACAAATACCCTTACATGTCGAAAGTAGCATTAGTGTCTTGCTTATTTATTTTTCAACTTAAATTAGGTAGCGATTCATTGTTCTTCGGTATTATTTTTCATCTGTGTGGTCAAGTGGAAGTTCTGAGGCTAGAGTTCAGCAGACTGAGCAACGAGAATGAAAAGGCAAAGGAACATTTCAACGTATTAACCAAGAGGCATGTTTACTTACTGAACCTAGCCAAAATGCTGGACGATACGATCAGCTCTATCTTGGCTGTGCAACTATTCACGAGTTGTATACTTATTTGTACAAGCGGTGAACATTTTTACATCTCTTGATAAAATGACATTAAATGACATAAATTTATCTAAATACGATGAACGTGTTGGAATGATTTACGCCTGCTTTCAGGACTACAGTTCATCATCGCTCTGAGCGTTGGAAACATCGTCATGACGATAAAAACGTTTATAGTACTGAGCACTCTGTTAGTGCAATTATTTGCATACAGCTACGTGGGCGAATATTTAAAGCGTCAAATGGAAGGCATCGGTGATTCGGTGTATTTCTGCAACTGGTACGATATACCGAAAAATGTGGCAAGAGATATTATTTATGTTATTATGAGGACTCAAGATCCAGTTTTCCTGAAGGCCGGAAGATTCTTTATTGTTAATATGGAAACGTACATGAGTATTATGAAAACTTCTATGTCGTATCTCTCAGTTCTACGGGTAATGATAAATGCTTGAGGACTTGTATAATATAGAAATCTAGGAAGCTATATTAATATAATAAAGCACAATAAAGTATTTAGTATTATTAAAATATTTGGTGATTTAACATTCATTTCAAATACTCAAAATCAAATTGATCGTGTGTGCGCAGCAGATCAATAAGTTCAATAAGCTGTAGTTAGTAATTCGTGTGACGACCAACAGATGATGCACACACAAAACATTTAAATATACAGATATTCGGCTACGTGTGCAGTAAATTTAAGGATGATTCCTAAAAACCAAATAAAACGAAAATCAAGAATAATAAATTACGTTTTCAGCTAAGTCTTTTACTTGTTGACATTTAAAAAATGGCCAAAAATCCCTGCACGCGAGCAATCCTCCTTACAAGAGCGATAGTGGGTCATCCTAAGCAGCGGGGTATACAGGGATTCTTCAAAATCAAACGATATATGGGCAGCAGCTTACCTCGTACAAGTCACGGAGAGTAAGATTATGACATTTGAAAACGTAAACCATTCTGCACAACGTTTTGTAAGAGAAATCGTAGATTAAACATTACTGTTTACTCATTAAAATCCACAACTACATATCGAAAAGAGTCTCATGAAATTTTTGAATGGAGACGATTAATGTTTCCTCTAAACATTTGCCTCCATAAATAATCAACAAATAATAGCACATATAATCAATGTTTACACAAACTTCACACACGCACCACGAGCATCACCGTCGTGTGTCCACAAAAAAATCAATCGTACATTGAATGGCGTCGTCCTGATGATGACGTTGCTCATACACCTGTACATTTACGCTTACGCAGACGACGCTGTCGAACCTCGATCGGAAGAAATCGTACAAGCCGTCTAAAATCTACTCTGGTATTAACCTTGAGGACACTTAGCAAGATACTCACAATGAATCGTGGGAATTTGTCGTACTACGTGACAGAATGGAAATTCCTCTCGATGAATATATTTACTTTCAAAGAAATACGACAGACACCAGACTTCTTACTTGTCCGTTTTGAAAGTAACGCGAGGCACATGAAGACCCTTAGATCGCGAGTTCTATATATTTCTTTCACCATCCTTGCGCATTGCTAGTGAAGCAAAGGAAATATTTCTGTAATTCGATGACGAAGAGCGAAATTTTCTCTACTGTACGACTTAAACTTCCACAAACATACCTACGTACGAAGCATGTTATAATCTATTAAACATAAGTACGCAATGGTTTGGATCGCCGTATGCGAATAAATAAGAAATTTTCCAAAGTGCAATTTCGAGAACGCCGATCACCATTTCCTGCGAAAATAATCGATTCCAATTTAGATGATTCGGTTCGGTTCTTCCACTTTTCTTATAAGAAAGGGTAGCTTCTTACTATAAGAAAATAGATCTTTGTCTTTACATTTGCTTACATAACGTTGAAACTCTAGCTTGACAGTTTCCGATGAAAGATGAATATCCTACGAAAACGCAGATCAATTTTCGAAGCGAATGTATAGTGTAACAGCTTACTATGGAAGTTGAACATTCTTTGAAAACACGGTCTAATTTGCAAAACGAATGGCGTTGGACGACAGAAGCAACGTATTAGTTATTAATCGTGTAGAAGCATAACGATAATGTATTTATCGACGATGTAACCCCCCACTGGAATTTTCTCGCAAATGTGCTTACTGTACGGTAGATAATTGAGCGATTATGGTAGAAAAAAAGAAAAGCCGGAAAATCGAAACACAATTCGTAAGCATAAAGAAGAAAGGAAAGTGTACGTATTCACGATTGCGCGGAATTATTCGTCGATCTTCATCTTGCGAGGATGAAGGCGACGTCGAGTAAAGATTTCGCTTACGCGATGACTCCGTTCAAGATCCTAGCGTGGCCTGTTGGTACCTGGCCTCTTCAACTTTATGATACCTTTTCCGCTATACGTGCCGTAATCACGATTTTTCTGTTGGTATGAAACTCATATCATTTTGTTTGGAAGTTAAGGTGTATGTATACTGAGGATGGAAGTTAACGTGTATGTATACTGAGAGACAAAAATTGAGTGGACAAACAAGTGAAACTAGTCCTAGTGATATATATTTAAATTTTATTTATCATACGCCGATGTGCAAAATTTCTGAACAGCTGAAATTGACGCGTTCAAAAATTCTTATTCTTTTATAGCTACTAATGATAGCGATCGTGCAATCGGAGATGTATTTAGACACCAGCGACGCTGAGAAGAATTTGGACGCCGTAATAATACTAACTTGCGGCTATTTGGCAGTGTCAAAGATCCTGCAGTTTCGTATTCGTCCTGCTGGCCTTATCTCAAATTTTACCTCGGCGGTTAAGGATTATAACGAATTGAACGACCAAGAAAAACGAGCGATAGTACGAAGACACGCTTACATGGGCAGAGTGGCAGGTATCAGTGTGGTACTTTTCTCACATTTCAGCGCAACCCTCTTCACGGCTTTGCCAATGCTGGCTGGGGAGCAAGTGAAGGATATAGTTAACGTAACTGAAGAAAGTATACCGGAATACCCTATGCCTTCCGAAAAAGTAATAGCACTGGTAAAAATACCGGATAATTTCTACCTCATTGTTTTTATCGTAGAGTACTTGATGTTGCTATCAACGAGTAATGGAAATATAGGTAATGAATCGTCCTGTCATACGAATTGCTCATTGTCAGGAGCCATGCCAATCAATTCCACAATTTAAAAAGTAAGAGAGAATGATAAATAGGAGCAGGATTTATTGCATTATTCATTTTGAACTTTTTTTGTTTTTCTTTTCTTTTCTTTTTTTTTTTTTTTTGCACATGGAGAAATCCTCATAGACATTCCGCTACTGCTAAAAATCGGCAACAGTAGAATAACGTCGGACTTTTACCGACTAAAACTCCACGATGACCATCCTACGCGTGTGACAGGAGTGCTCCAGGGACCTCTTACGAATTATCTTTCCGTTGCACCCCCCATTCATTTTGAACTATGAAGGTAGCAACTTCATACCCAGTGGAATTCATTAGTTTGGCTTCTGAGAGGCTAAATTACGTCTCAGCGTAGCTCAAAGATCTTGTTTATTTATTTTCAAATATGAATTAGGAAACGATTCCTTGTTTTTCGGTATCATTTTTCACCTGTGCGGTCAAGTAGAAATTCTGAAACTTGATTTCAAGAGACTAAGAAACGAAACCGAAAAAACACGGGAACATTTCAGCGTACTAACCAAGAGGCATGTTTACTTACTGAACCTGGCCAAAATGCTGGACGATACGATCAGCTCTATCTTGGCCGTGCAACTATTCACGAGTTGTACACTTATTTGTACAAGCGGTGAACATTCTTATATCACTTGATAAAATGTCATTAAATGGCATAAATTTATCTAAATCGTGTTGGAATGATTTACGCCTGCTTTCAGGACTACAGTTCATCATCGCTCTGAGCGTTGGAAACATCGTCATGACGATAAAAACGTTTATAGTACTGGGCACTCTATTGGGGCAATTATTTGCATACAGCTACGTGGGCGATTATTTAAACCGTCAAATGGAAGCCATCGGCGACTCGATATATTCCTGTAGTTGGTACGATATACCGAAAAGTGTGACAAAAGATATTATTTATGTCATTATGAGAGCTCAAGACCCAGTTTACCTAAAAGCTGGGAAATTCTTTATACTCAATATGGAAACGTACATGAGTATTATAAAAACTTCTATGTCGTACCTGTCAGTTCTACGGGTAATGATAAGTGCTTGAGGCCTTGTATAATATAAAAATAGAGGGGGTGGTATACTTATCTAATAAAGCTCAACAAGATATGTAATATTACGCTTTTGATGACTAAATATTCATTACAAATGCTCAAAATCAAATTGATCGAATGTGCGTAATCGATTGTCCCAGTATTCTGTTATCGTCGATAATTCGTGCAATGACCGAAAACATTTAAAATATATGTGTATGCACATCATTATTACATTGGCACTTGTAGCTTCAAAACTCAATGGTTATGTCATACGAAGGACTACGTAACCGATAAGTGTAAGTCAGCCTTTCGTTTCTACTTACGCGTTATTAAATCTTTCAGTCGACGGAAGACTTTAATCCAGGAATTAAGAAATTTCAAATCTCAATAACGCACTGATATAGACCAATAAAATTAATATGAAAAATCGAAAATTTGTTGTTTATTGTTGTTAAAGGGTAAAATGAAGACATTCTTTAAATTATACGAAATAAAATTCATATAAAAACAGGGTGAGGTACAATTAGTCTATTACCTTGATCACCAAGCCAAGTTCCATGTTCCTGGGCTACCTCAGCATGAGAGACGACATCGGTGCAGTGAAAAATGCCGTCCTGATGGTGAACTGTCTCGCAGAGCTGTACCTCTAGGTCTACTCAGATAAATCGCCCTGCTATCGATCTCGATGACGTGTAGCAAACGATCTGAAGCTAATAACGAACAGCAAAAGTTGATCGTACCACGCAACAGCTGGGAAATTTTGAAAAAATGAACATATTCGCTTCCAAAGAAACACCGACGATACCAGCCTTTTACTTGTCCGTTTTGAAAATAATGCGGGACACGTGAAAATCATTGTATCGCGAGTGCTATGTATGCCTTTGGAAACCTTCGATATATTCCGTGTGTAACAAAGGCGGCATTACTGTTCCTCGACGAGGAAATACAACGGAACTCTCTTACGTACGACTCACACTCTCGTAAACATACGTACGCACGAATCATGCTACAAGTTGTTACACACGAGCATATAGTAATTTGCATTAGTGTGTACGGATATACATGACATATTGTAGAATACAATTTCGAAGGACACCGATCACGATCGCACCATTTGCTTGCGTGAGAAAATAATTGATAGCGATTTAGACGCTTCATTTCTTCCACTTTCAGTATAAGATAGAGTATTTTCCTGCTATAAGAAAATAGATCCTATTTTTTTGCGCTTACCTACATATCGTATCGTAAGTTAACATATATGATATATACTCGGGAACAAAAATGAGTTGTTAAATAAGTGGAACCAGCTCTATTGTTATATATTTAAATTTTACGTATTATATATCATTATAATATATTAATTATTTAGTAAAATATTGAAATTGAGATTTATATTTTTGCGTAAGCAAGCCATAGTTAGCGAAAATACATTGATACTTACATCCACCATTTATCTACATACTTTTGCCCAAACATCTAAAACGATGCTTCTAGAAGTCACTTTCATTGTTTCCTGTAATATAATTAATGTTTCCTCTAAACATTTGCCTCCATAAATAATCAACAAATAATAGCATATATAATCAATGTTTACACAAACTTCACACACGCACCACGAGCATCACCGTCGTGTGTCCACAAAAAAATCAATCGTACATTGAATGGCGTCGTCCTGATGATGACATTGCTCATACAACTGTATCTTTACGCTTACGCAGACGACGCTGTCGAACCTCGATCGGAAGAAATCGTACAAGCCGTCTAAAATCTACTCTGGTATTAACCTTGAGGACACTTAGCAGGATACTCACAATGAATCGTGGGAACTTGTCGTACCACGTGACAGAATGGAAATTTCTCTCAATGAATATATTTACTTTCAAAGAAATACGACAGACACCAGACTTCTTATTTGTCCGTTTTGAAAGTAACGCGAGGCACATGAAGACCATTTTATCGCGAGAGCTATGTGTTGCTTTCCCCATTCTCGATGCACTGCTAGTGAAGCAAAGAGAATATTTCTGTAATTCGATGAGGAAGAGCGAAATTTTCTCTAATGTACGACTTAAACTTCCTGTACGACAAACATACCTACGTACGAAGGCATGCTAGAATCTATTAAACATAAGTACGCAATAGTTTGGATCGTTGTATGCGAATAAATAAGAAATTTTCCAAAGTGCAATTTCGAGAACGCCGATGACCATTTCCTGCGAAAATAATCGATTCCAATTTAGATGATTCGGTTCGGTTCTTCCACTTTTCTTATAAGAAAGGGTAGCTTCTTACTATAAGAAAATAGATCTTTGTCTTTACATTTGCTTACATAACGTTGAAACTCTAGCTTGACAGTTTCCGATGAAAGATGAATATCCTACGAAAACGCAGATCAATTTTCGAAGCGAATGTATAGTGTAACAGCTTACTATGGAAGTTGAACATTCTTTGAAAACACGGTCTAATTTGCAAAACGAATGGCGTTGGACGACAGAAGCAACGTATTAGTTATTAATCGTGTAGAAGCATAACGATAATGTATTTATCGACGATGTAACCCCCCACTGGAATTTTCTTGCAAATGTGCTTACTGTACGGTAGATAATTGAGCGATTATGGTAGAAAAAAAGAAAAGCCGGAAAATCGAAACACAATTCGTGAGCATAAGGAAGAAAGGAAAGGGTATGCATACACGAATGCGCGGAATTATTCGTCGATCTTCACCTTGCGAGGATGAAGGCGACGTCGAGTAAAGATTTCGCTTACGCGATGGCTCCGTTCAAGATCCTATCGTGGCCTGTTGGTACCTGGCCTCTTCAACACTATGATATCTTTTCCGCTATACGTGCCGTAATCACGAGTTTTCTTCTGGTATGAAACTCATATTATTTTGTCTGGAAGTTAACGTGTATGTATACTGAGAGACAAAAATTGAGTGGACAAACAAGTGAAACTAGTCCTAGTGATATATATTTAAATTTTATTTATCATACGCCGATGTGCAAAATTTCTGAACAGCTGAAATTGACGCGTTTAAAAATTCTTATTCTTTTATAGCTACTAATGATAGCGATCGTGCAATCGGAGATGTATTTAGACACCAGCGACGCTGAGAAGAATCTGGACGCCGTAGTAATACTAACTTGCGGCTATTTGGCAGTGTCAAAGGTCCTGCAGTTTCGTATTCACCCTGCTGGCCTTATCTCAAATTTTACCTCGGCGGTTAAGGATTATAACGAATTGAACGACCAAGAAAAACGAGCGATAGTACGAAGACACGCTTACATGGGCAGAGTGGCAGGTATCAGTGGGGTACTTTTCGCATATTTCAGCGCAACTCTCTTCACGACTTTGCCTATGCTGGCTGCAGAGGAAATGAAAGATATAGTTAACGCAACGGAAGAACATATTCCGGAATATCCTATACCTTCCGAAAAAGTAGTGGCACTTGTAAAAATACCGGAAAATTTATACTTCATGGTTTTTATCGTAGAGTACCTGATGTTGCTATTAACGAGCAATGGAAATCTAGGTAATGAATCGTCGTGTCATACGAATTGCTCATTGTCAGGGGCCATGCCAATCAATTCCACAATTTAAAAAATAAGAGAGAATGATAAATAGGAGCACCATTTGTTGTATATACTTTGAAATTACAATCCACATCCGTATATTCTCTGTTAGTAAAATATTGAATAATATATTGAATTATATTGAACAATTATTAATTTTGAACTATGAAGCTAGCAACTTCATACCCAGTGGAATTCGTCAGTTTGGCTTCTGAGAGGCTAAATTACTACTATTGCCTCAGCGTAGCTCAAAAGATCTTGTTTATTTATTTTCAAATATGAATTAGGAAACGATTCCTTGTTTTTCGGTATCACTTTTCACCTGTGCGGTCAAGTAGAAATTCTGAAACTTGATTTCAAAAGACTACGAAACGAAAACGAAAGAACAAAGGAACGTTTCAGCGTATTAACCAAGAGGCATGTTTACTTACTGAACCTGGCCAAAATGCTGGACGATACGATCAGCTCTATCTTGGCTGTGCAACTATTCACGAGTTGTATACTTATTTGTACAAGCGGTGAACATTTTTACATCTCTTGATAAAATGACATTAAATGGCATAAATTTATCTAAATACGATGAACGTGTTGGAATGATTTACGCCTGCTTTCAGGACTACAGTTCATCATCGCTCTGAGTGTTGGAAACATCGTCATGACGATAAAAACGTTTTTAGTACTGAACACTCTATTGGTGCAATTATTTGCATACAGCTACGTGGGCGATTATTTAAAGCGTCAAATGGAAGGCATCGGCGACTCGATATATTCCTGTAGTTGGTACGATATACCGAATAGTGTGGCAAAAGATATTATTTATGTTATTATGAGAACTCAAGATCCAGTTTACCTGAAGGCTGGAAGATTCTTTATTGTTAATATGGAAACGTACATGAGTATTATGAAAACTTCTATGTCGTATCTCTCAGTTCTACGGGTAATGATAAGTACTTGAGGCCTTGTATAATATCGAAATGGAGGGGGGTATATTTATCTAATAAAGCTCAATAAGATATGTAATATACTTTTGATGACTAAATATTTATTACAAATACTCAGAATCAAATTGGTCGAATGTGCGTAATGGATGGTCTCGCTAGTCTCTGTCGTAGTCAATAATTTGTGAAATGCCGGAAAACATTTGAAATATATGTATATGTACATGATTATTACATTGGCACTTGTAGCTTCAAAACTCAATCGCTTTGGCATTTGAAAGGCTTGGTAACCGATAAGTTTAAGTCAGCCTTTCGTTTCTATTTACGCGTTATTAAATCTTTCAGTCGACGGAAAACTTGAATTCGGGAATTCAAAAATTTCAAATCTCAATAACGCACTGATATAGATCAATAAAATTAATATGAAAAATCGAAAATTTGTTGTTTATTTTTGTTAAAGAGTAAAATGAAGACATTCTTTAAATTATACGAAATAAAATTCATATAAAAGCAGGGTGAGGTACAATTAGACTATTACCTTGATCACCAAGCCAAGTTCCATGTTCCTGAGCTACCTCAGCACGAGAGACGACATCGGTGCAGTGAAAAATGCCGTCCTGATGGTGAACTGTCTCGCAGAGCTGTACCTCTAGGTCTACTCAGATAAATCGCCCTGCTATCGATCTCGATGACGTGTAGCAAACGATCTGAAGCTAATAACGAACAGCAAAAGTTGATCGTACCACGCAACAGCTGGGAAATTTTGAAAAAATGAACATATTCGCTTCCAAAGAAACACCGACGATACCAGCCTTTTGCTTGTCCGTTTTGAAAATAATGCGGGACACGTGAAAACCATTGTATCGCGAGTATTATGTATTCCTTCGGCGACCCTCGATATATCCCGCGTGTAACAAAGGCGGCATTACTGTTCCTCGACGAGGAAGTACAACGAAACTCTCTTACGTACGACTCACACTCTCGTAAACATATGCATGCACAAAGCATGCTATAATTTACTACACATGAGCATATAGTGGTTTGTATTAGTATGAACATGAACAGTATCTCATTTTGTAGAATACAATTTTGAAAGACACCGATCACGATCGGGTCATTTGCCTGCGTTGAAAATAATCGATAGCAATTTAAACGTTTCAGTTCTTCCACTTTCAGTATAAGATAGAATATTTTCCTGCTATAAGAAAATAGATCTTAGCTCTTCGCGCTTACTTACATATCGTTCTAACTGATAGTTTCCGATGAATATCTTCCGTATCAGATCAATTTTCATAGCGAGTGTACAGTTTAATAACTGATTATGAAAATTGAATATTCTTTCGAAACACAATCTAATTTTTAGAAGAAATAACGTACGACGACAGAAACCATTATACAGAAGTATGGCAATAAAATATTTATCTAGAAAGCAACCGGTCCACAGGAATTTCCTTGGAAATGTGTAATAGACGTAGAAACGATAACCTAGTAGACGATAGATAATTGAGCGATTACAGTTGAATAAGACATAATACGAGAAATAAAAATACACAATTTGTTACTATGTAGGAAGAAAGAAACGAAACGTATTCATGATTACGCGAAATTGTTTGTCTACATTTTGTGAGGATGAAGGCATCGCGCAGTAAAGACTTTGCTTACGCGATGACTCCGTTGAAGATCCTGTCGTGGCCAGTTGGAACCTGGCCTCTTCAAAATTACGATATCTTCTCTGCTACGCGTGCGATAATCGCAATTTCACTTTTGGTATGAAACTTTTCTCATTCTGTTTCGAAGTTAACATGTATGCTATATACTCGGGAACAAAAATAAGTTGTCAAATAAGTGGAACTAGCTCTATTGTTATATATTTAAATTTTACGTATTATATATCATTATAATACATTAATTATTTGGTAAAATATTAAAATTGAGATTTACACTTTTGCATAAACAAGCTATAGTTAGCGAAAATATAATACGTTGATACTTATATCCACCATCTATGTACATACTTTTGTCCAAATGTTTAAAACGATGCTTACAGAAGTCACTTTTAGTTAATTTCATAATTATTGCAGCAGATTAAAAAATGTCGTCCTTTTCTAGCTATTAATGTTAACCATCCTGCATATTGAAATGTATTTGGATAGCAGCGATGCCGAGAAGAATCTAGATGGTCTAGCATTAATTACTTGCGGTATTTTGGCGGTATCAAAGGTCATCCGTTTTCGTATTCGGCCGGGTGGCCTTATCTCGAATTTTACCTCGGCGGTTAAGGATTATGACGAACTGAGAGATGAAGAGAAACGAGTGATAGTGCGAAGATACGCTTACATGGCCAGACTGGCGTGCGGCAGTGTGATATCTTTCGCGTATTTCACCTCGACCATTATGATGACTCTGCCTATGCTGGTTGGAGAAGAAGAGGAAGATATTGTTAACGTGACAGAAGAAAGTACACCAGGCTACCCTATACCTTCCGAGTATGTAATGGAAATTATACAATTGCCGGACAATTTGTATTTCATCGTTTTTATCGTCGAGTACTTGATGCTGATATTCCTGAGTACTGGAAATCTAGGTAATGAATCATCCTGTCATACGAATTAGTCACTATCAGAAGCCATGCTAATCAACTCCATAAGTTGAAATGTAGAGATGAATGATAAGTACGAGCATAATTTGTCGAAAGGTGATCTGCAATATGTAATTCCTTTGCTTATGGCGATCGAAAAAGGAATTATTGGACGATAATTTCGAGGGGCACATGATCTGAAATGAATAATTTTCATATAAGTGATTATGTGACAGAAGTACAGTGATCAACCTCATTTTCCGATCAAAATGCTGATGGTATACGACGTCTTTTTTTATTTATATCGATTCCTTACAATAATCTCCTAAAACTTGATGTACGAATTTTACGCCACTTCACTTATACATATAGATATGGCACATTAGATCAAATCAAAGTATATTGTGAAAAAATTTTATTATTGAACTTGAACCTCGTGTGTACGTAGCGTGTGTTTGGCATGTGGATTAATATTCATTTAATGTACGTTCAAAATAGTGTTTAAAAAAATCAACTACGAAAGTAGTGTTTAAAACTATTAAAACGATAAATGAGTAACTCTAAATACGATTATTACACTATCCGGCCTGTAATTTTTGTTGTTAAAATGTAGAACATCGACTATTCGTTTTGAACGATGATATTAAAAGTTTGAAGTAGAATGGAATTGATTAGTCTGGGATCTGAATGGCCTAAAATACCAATACGTGCTCATAGTAGGTCAAAAAATTCATTTATTTATATTGAAATGTGAATTAGGGAGCGATTCGTTGTTCTTCGGTATCATTTTTCACCTGTGCGGTCAGGTAGAAATTTTGAGGCTTGAGTTCAATAGGTTGAACAACGAGAACGAAAAAGCAATGGAACATTTCATCTCATTAACCAAGAGGCATATTTACTTGCTGAAGTTGGCCAAAATGCTGAGCGAGACCATCAGCTCTATCTTGATTGTGCAACTATTCACGAGTTGTGTACTTATTTGTACAAGCGGTAAACATTCTTACCTCACTCGATAAAATGACGCGAAGCACAATGGCATAAGTTTATTTAAATTTAATTAATTTATTATGATGATTTGCATCTGTTTTTAGGACTTCAATTTATTATCGCTCTGAGCGTTGGAAACATCGTCATGACGATAAAGTCATTTATAGTATCGAGCACGCTACTGCTGCAATTATTTGCATACAGCTACGTGGGCGAAT